CATGCGATCATGCAAAGTTAATTAAACGTGACCCTACATTGGATGCAGAAAGTGATGCTAAATCATTTGTACCCAACTGTAAAATAACCACGTCTGGGTTGAAATCCTGAACGACGTGTAAATCGAAACGTCGTATCTTGTCCACCGTACGCCCTCCGACACCAAGTAGTTTAATTTCTGCCGAATTACTCAAATTAAACGAAAGCGGCAAAGCGTGCGTTGCGTCCACTTGACAATCGCGCCACAAATAAAAGACCCAAAATTAAAACTTTAGGCTTCATGATGACTTAAATAAACGTGTGAAAGAATGCCTGAAACATCAACGGCGGAACGATAACCCCAGGTAAACCAGAACTTGCCTTAAAATTGTCGAAAATACGACTAAAATTGTAGAAGAAACAAACTGCAAGCCGGCAGTCCAAAAGAGGTGGATCTATGTTGCTGCCCTACTTAGGCACAGTTAAACAAGAATGCGCCAGCCATAGAGGGCGCTCTCCAACTGGTATTAAAATACAATTGCATGTATATAAATCTGATTACCTGTCTATAATCTATGCTATGTTGGTACTACTCTGTAGGTGTGCTCATCGCATTGTGCATTTTGACTGGAATGATACGACAGTTCGTTCAGTTATCTAACATTTGTCGTTTTTTCTCAGGTACGAAAGTAATGTAGTCCAGAGTTTGGCAGCAGTTAAGGAAATCGAACCACACAGAGGCTGTACTCCTGCGTCCACGATAGAGTGTGACGCTGGCCTCCACAGTGGACCCCACTGCCAAAGAACATGTATGCTCGGTAATCTGGTTAACAAGAAGTTGCCCATATCGGCTTCAACGATTCACAGCCTTTTCTTGACATCAGAGTTTTGTGTATATTTCTATTTGCTGATTTATTTTGACATACTGACCTCGTGAGGATTTAGAGATCCGGTTTTTGTTTTCTTTAAAATCGCATAATCATATTATCATTAGAGCTAGCAATTAGTTGTTAGTATTTTTTTCTATTTTGCTTTACCTTCATTTGCGTCTATGTGTGCTCGTGACAACGGTATTACATTCAGATAACCAGTGCGTGCGTGGTTCTATGGTGTGCCAGTATCATGTTTATGGTAGTATAAACTGGCCTGGTGGTAAAATGTGAAAAAAGCTTAATTGCATTCGAAATGGTATTCAAGGAAGTGCTTGTGTTTCTTTCTCTTTAGATATATCAACTGACCCAGCAAAAATGATTCTTCCTTTTTTCTTATCTTAGGAATTGACCATTATAAACTATGCTAAACTATTTTGTCATGCTTAACTGTACTCTACGCTGTCTGAAAAACATTTTAAATGCAAACCCACCAGTCAGTACCTATGGGTACCAAAGCAATGTAATTATCACAAATT